GCCTGGGAAGGTGTCGGTGTGGATGGGGGAAGATGGTTAAGGAGTCAGTGGGACCTCGAGTGAAAATGCTGAGAAAGACTCCGGGAGGTGGAGTGGGGGCTGTGGAGGGCTGAGTGCCTGGGCGGGCTTGGGCGTCAGGTTTGAGGGACGCTAGTGGGCCCTGTGTTCTCTGAAGGAGTGGAGGGTTCCGCCGGGGAATGGGGATATCAGTCAAGAAACAGTGTGGTGGCCCAGGGTCCAAGGGCAACACGATTTCAGGAGAGGACAGACGCCCACAGTTAGGCAGATGGAGAAGTTCAGCTTCGGGAGGCTGGGAGGGGGAGCCAGCAGGTTGGGGCCCAGTGTGTGGCGGTGCCTGGAGCACACTCGTAGCCTCATACGCCCTGTGAGGTGGGGTCAGCCGCATTTCCCTGCAGAGGAAGTGAAATCTCAGAGAGGCCCCGTGACTTGCCCAGAGCCACAGAGCTGGGGAGTGCAGGGGTCCGGCCTGGCCTGGGGGGTGTGGGCCAGGAGAGCGTCCGGTGGGTGGGGCGTCCCAGCCTTGGAACGGGATTTCTCAGGGACGGTGGTCGCAGACCTTGCGACGACTTCCCTTGTCGGTGCTGTGGCGGGGTTGGGAGGCCTGCTGGCGTTGGGTGCTGGGGGGAGAGGAAGCAGGGTTCCAAAGGCGAGTGAGGGGACAGAGGTGCAAGCAGTTACACACCCTGGGCACCAGGGAAACACCAGGTGCCCTGGCTGCCAGTAAAGCAGAACTTCACTTTGAAAAGCTCTATCAGTTTGATTTTCCTAATGCATTATTGCTCACGGATAATTTAGAAAATACAGAAAGGTGGGAAGAATGGAAAAACTAACGATTCTACTTTTACAGTCTTACAAGTTCCCTTACCTTTATGTTGTAGGTGTGGACATACTGCAGACACAGTTTTATAACCTTTTAAATTTACTATTCTAGTCATTTTCCACGTCACTATGATGTCTGCACGGACATCCTGTGGCTGTTTTGTAACTTATGGTACCGGCCCTCTAAAGATGGAAATCCGCCTTTTTGGTTGTCGTTTTCAATGTTACAAATGCCTCTGGGAGGAAGATCTTTCCAAGGAAAAGGAAAACCAACAGTAGGTCCCTAGGACTAGAACTGCTCGGTCAGACCACCTTCCGGCCGAGCTGGGGAGATGCACTGGTCCCAGCGTGGACACGGCCTTCTAGAAGTGCCGGTGCAAGTCAGCCCTGTGCGCATCAGCTGTTCGCTCACTCATGGTGTACGCAGTGTGCAAGCCTTAAGTGCCGGTGTGGGGAGGCTCCATTCTCTGTGGCCAGGTCAGTGGAGCTGCCAGCTTCTGGGCCGCACGGGGGTGGGTAGGAGCCTTTGATCACCCACGATGTCCCAGGCGCCCGGGGCCGCCTGTGGGCCCCTGTGTGACACTCAGTGACAGGGCGAGTACTGAGAGTGGTGTCCCCCGTTTTGTCCTGTCCATCTGTGCATTCCACAGATACCAACTGCACACCTCACGCTTGCTAGGCCCCGTTCTAGTCGCTAGGGTTACAGCAGTTAAGAAAGAAGTCCCTGCCTTCAAGGGATTTCACTCTAGTAGTGGGAGGTACGGACAGGGAATTGGGAGGAGGCAGGTGGGAAACTGGTGGGTGATTAAGTCTGGTGGTGATAGAGGCTAAGGAGTGTCGGGGAGGCCTCCCCGAGGTAAAATCTGGGCAGACTCAAGAAGAAGGTGGGGGAGTGGGAGGGCCAGCTGGAGGATGCCTGAGGGAGGGCTGGTCCACGCAGAGGAACAGGTGTGAACACCTGAGGTGGGAACCAGCTGAGTGCAACCCGAGAACAGGAAATGGGGCAGCTGGCCGGTGCAGAGAGAGCAGGTGGGGAGGGCAGGAGAAGATCTAGGACCCAGGGGTCTTTTTTTCTGATAGGAGGTTTGGGAACCGGAGGGCTGTTCCTACCGTTTGAAGGAATTCAGCCTAATCTCTTACCCTTTTGTGGCTCATCTGCAGCAGGTGGTCACTGAGGCCTGCGTTTGGTGGTGGAGCCCTGGGGCGTGAGGCCCAGGGTTTGGGAGGTCACTGCCTCCATAGGCCCTTCAGGGTGCCGCTCTGCGCACTGAGGGGCTTGAACTGGGACGCTGGTGAGGCCGTGCTGAGCTTTCTGGGGCTGGGCTCTCTGCCCAGTCAGTTAAGCAGGCTGGTTAGATCTTGGGTCATTTTAGTTTAACTGATAACAGTGTGTGAATACAGTTGTTGCTGTAGATTTAGTTCTCAACACGTTTAGATATCGGATTTACTACTTTGTTGCAAACAAGAGTCTTTCAGCCAGTTGTGGGTGGTCTTGTAGTTGGGGGTGGGGGTGGAGTTTATGCCCTCAGCTGTCCATTTATCTCAATTATTGAGCACTTGCTGGTTAGGCACTGGGATGGCTGCCTACATATACCACAGTGGTGATTTTTAAAAGACCCAGACCCTGTCTTCATGAAGTTCATGCTGTAGTGCTAGCTAGTTCTGCCAGAGAATCGTGGAGGGGAAGGGACCCTGGTCAGAAAAGACAGGGCGGTCCCTACCTCACACCATATACAAAAATGAACCCCAAATGGATCCATGACCTATGCACAAACACTGAAGCCATAAAACCCTCACCGAAACAATTGGGGTAAATCTCCACGATCAAGGTTGAGCGATGGATTCTCGCGCATGACCCCAAAGGCATAAGCAATGAAAGAAATAAGTAAATTAGGCTCATCGAAATTCAGAACTTTGGTGCATCAAAGGACATTATCAAGAAAGTGAAAAGACAACCTACGGAGTAGGAGAAAATGTTTGCGAATCATATATCCGATAATGGTTTAACATTCAGAATAACACAAAGGCCACCTATAACTCAACACCCCAAATTAAGATAAACAACCCAACCTAAAAAATGGGCAGAGGACTTGAATAGCTATTTCTTTGAAGATCTACAAATGGCCAACAAGCACTTGAAAAGATGCTCGACATCCCTGGTCACTAGGGAAAATGCAAATTTAGAAAATACAGAAAGGTGGGAAGCGTAGAAAAACTAACAATTCTACTTTAAAACCATAGTAATATATCACTTCACACCTACTATGATGGTCATCAAAGAAAGGGAAAAAGTACTGGTGAAGGTGTGGAGACAGGGCCCCTCTTTACATCGCTGGTGGGGCTGTAAAGTGATGCGGCTTCTGTAGAAAAGTTTGGCGGGTCCTCAGAAAGTTTTAACATAGAATCACCATATGGCCCAGCAACTCTCATGGATACAGACCCAAAAGAACGGAAAACGGGCCCAAACAGGTGCTTGCGCAGCGACGTTCATTGTAGCACTGTTCACTGGCCAGTGGGGGCAGCCAGCCAGGTGTCCAGTGGACAGATAGCAAAGTGTGATCTATCCATGACAGGGCATGTTCTTTGTCAAAGCGGAGTGAAGTCCTGACACATGCTACAACGTGGGTGCAACTGGAAGACATTAAGTGAAACGAGCCAGATACAAAAAAAGGACAAATACTGTGTTGTCCCACTTACAAGAAATAGCCAGAATAGGCAAATTCACAGACAGGGAAAGTAGAGGTTGCCAGAGGTGGGGGGTGGGAGGGAACGAGAAGTTATTGCTTAATGGGTACAGAGTTCCTGTTTGGAGTGATAAAAGAGTTTGGGATATAGATAGTGGTGACAGTTGCACAACCTTGTGTCACTAAAGCTGATGAGTTGTACACTTACAAGTGGTTAAAATGTGATCTGTCTTACCACCATGAAAAAGACCAGAGCGGGTGGTGTGCGGTGTCTGCCAGGAGATCGACTGTTAGGAACCACCGGGTTCGGGCCCCGCTCGGAGCCAGGCCTCCTCAGCCACGGTCCTTGCAGCCTTTTGCCAGTTCTGCCCCTGTGGGGGAGTCACGTGACGACAGGTGTAGCGTGTCACGGGTCATGGCAGATGCTCAGAGATGCCTTCCCATCCCCTTCAGTTTCACCCTTCCCCAAGTAAAAAGGCGATTCCACCTGGTGCAAAAGACAGAAAACAGTCTTGTGGTTTTGCCCCCGGCAGCAATGACCTGCTCACCTGTTTTGCTGTTTCCCTCCAGGCGGTGGCCTAACCACCCCCCACCCCACCCCCTGCCTGTCTCCACCTTCGTGCTTTTGCCCTAAAGCAGGGCTCCTCTGGGCCTCACTGCACCACTTCATGGGCTGACGTTCGTGCGTGCCCTGGGTCCCATGCCCCTCCCTTCTCTGGGTTTCCTGTGGTTCTTTGCAAGTCTGATAAGCCCCACTCATCAGAAGCCTTGGGAACACGCTGCCATGGCTGCGATCCCACTGGGCAGGAGATTGTTCAGTCGTGACCACCAAGGCCAGTGAAGTGTTTGACAGTGGGGGAGTGGGACAGGGTGGGCTGCGTGACTGTAGAGACAGTACAAATATGACTTTCTAAAAACCAGCGCAAACAAGACAGTGCTGCAGTTTTTATCCGGCAAGAACGCAGCAGAGCGAGCCCTGTGCAGCCGCTGGTCTGCGGGCTGCCCTCCGTTCTCCCTGCAGGGTCAGTGACCCCTGGGGTTCCCAGCCAGCTGTTTCTCCACTGCTGTGGAGGGGCATCCTGTGCACCAGTTTATCAGTTCCCCCACCCCCTGGCTGTCATGAGATCCTTGGGTGAGAGCCAGCACATCTGCCCTGAAGGTGAGCTGGCGAGTGTCTGGTTGAGCTCCAGTTCATTGAGAAGCCGCCTCCCCAGGGGGTGCAGTGCACCTGGGCCTCTATCAGGAGCCCTTGCAGCTCTTCCGTCCCCAGATGCTGGTGCAGTGGAAGGAAGGGGGCTGGTGCTGGAAGGCGGGCTCTGAGCTGGTCACGGGGTAGGATTGGCCTCAGAGAGTGAGGTGGCCCACTCCTGCTCTCCCACCGCTAATGATTAACCCAGGGGCGGCCGGCCTGTGCAGCTGGAAGGGCCTTCACACGTCGCATGCCCTCGCTCCAGCCCACACCTGTTGCCACGGTGAGAGGAAGTCATGCACTGCATTTCCGCAATTCTGAAAGACAAGCGTTCCACCTTTTAGCTTTTCTGAAACTGGCATTTCGCAATCTGAAATACCTGTTTAAATCAATTGTCACCTTAGAACGGAGGGAATATGGTAATAAATACCCAAGTCGTTACTCGGGTTTCTGAAGTTGCAGAATCAATTACGGGGAAAAACGGCTTCCTGGAGCATTTCTCCCCTAAGAGGAAATTTACCAGCACTGTGAGCTGTGGGGAGTGTTCATGAAGATTATCTCAAAGGGTAAGGACATACTTTTAGTCAGTAAATTAGATGTAATAGTGATTAAGTGGGGCCTTTTGCCCTCAGTGAATCACCTGTAATTCACCTCCCTCCCAGTAACAGGAGCCAGTGGACTCACTGGGCAGCTATATGATGCCCCTGCACTGCGCTGAGGATCATCGCCTTATGTGGAGGCTGACTGTGTGCCTGGAGCACAGCTATCCGAGTCTCATCTACCAGTCTGTGAAATGGGAACAGCAAGGCTGCCCTTGGTAGGAGCCTTGGATGCTCCTCAGGGCAGGAAGTCTGGGAGTGGGGACAGGCCAGAGACCAGGGGCGAGGTGGGCAGAACGGGCGGTGGTGATATGGAGTCAGTGCTCATGGTAGCCGGTGTGGGGGGAGAGTCCGCAGTGGGCCGGGCTTTTTGCTAGGTTAGGAGCAAGGTCACTGCTCTTTAAAATGATTTACAGATGAGTACACAAAGCTTAGAAAGTGAATTTGTCGCCTCGGGTAGTGTGGCTCCATTGGTTGGAGCATCATCTCGATATGCTCCATAAAACGAAGGGCCACATGTTCGATTCCAGGTCAAGACACATACCTAGGTTGCAGGTTCAGTCCCCAGTCAGGGCCATTAGAAGAGGCAAACTGATCAATGTTTCTCATATCTGTGTTTTTCTCCCTCTTTCTCCTTTCCCCTCTCTCTAAAATCAATAAGCATGTCCTTGAGCAAGGATTTTACAAAAAAGAAGGGAAAGAAGTGGATTTGCCCACGGTCACACAGCTGGGAGTGGCAGAGCAGAGACTGGAACCCCGGTCGGGTTTGCTTCTCAGGCCTCCAGCTGGCCCGGGTGTCAGTTGGCCTTACAGAGACCCCAGGCAGCCCCCGACAGCGGTGTTCCTGGGGCGAGTCACAGTGGCCCCTGGAAACCAAGAAATGGCTTGCGTCTGTCTCTGGTGTGGTCCCAGCTCCCAGCACATGGAAGGCCTCCGTGCAAACGAGTGCTCCCATAGCAGCAACAAGAGAGATTTTCGTCCGATGATTCCTGAATACTGTTATCCTGATGAGTGTTTCGGCATGGCTTTATACGTCTTTCTTAGAGTTGACGCAGTTTCCTTTCATTAATTTCCTGAGCCCCTCTCACCAAGACCTAAAGCCCTGGAAATCTGACTAGGCTGCATAAAAATACACTTTATCTGAGTTTCTTTACCTGAGTTTCTAGAGGCGCTGGCAGGGTTTCTGTACCTGACAGAACCTGAGATGGCCCTCAGATTAAAACCTTACCAGCAGAGGGTTTTAAAGCTGGGAGGAGCCGTGGAGGCTCTAAGCTGGGAAACCCAGCAGAAAAATAATGGAGTTGGGACTTCCCAGGGCACTCGGCTGATCCGACAAAGAGCGGGATGCCCTGTGGGGGAGGAGTTGGAAGGTGTTTTTCTGTGTTTCCTTGAGATAAAATTATGGCCGGGGCTGGTGGTGGTGAGGATTGGGTTTCCCTGGCCAGGCTGCCACTGGCTTCTAGCTCCTTGGCAGGAGCAGAGCTGGCGGGACGGTCCGGTTGTGAGATTCCAGGCTCTTGGCTGGGATGCGTGGCGATTAGCGCATCTCAAATCTTTCAAAGTGACTTTAGCTGTTTTCTGAGGGCTTCAGCTGCTCCGAGCTGCACAGGGGTGGGGACTGGAGCCTAAGATAGAAATATCAGGGGCTGACACCCAAATGGGCGTGTCCCTTTCCTGAGGGCAAATATTAGCACAGTGTTTTTGTAAAGTTTATGCAACTTGATTCATGTCCCTGTAGAGTAAATTTATTCCATCCTGTTTTCCAGTTTGTTTGGGCCCAGTAGAACTATTCAGAGGGAGAATGAAAAGACTTTAATAGTCTTTTAGGTAGAAATGGCTCAATATAAACCCATCCCATTGTCTGTATTTGAGCTTTGTGCATTGCTTTTAGTGTGTTCATGTTATTTTATATCCCATGTGCCACAGTTTAATGGGCCATTTAATTTTTCTTCCCAAGACTGAGGTGTGAGGTATCTGTTTAGAATTATTTCCTATGAGAATTCCGTGTAAGAAAATCCAGTTTTGAGTAGTGCTGTTCTGAGTAGGGCTTGCATGTACAGAAATTTAACTCTGGCACTGTTGAAACAAGTCATACTAGAATCTTGGTCCTGGAAGCTCAACGTTCATCTGTCCTACCCTTCCAGTTTTATTGAGCTTCTCTGCATGGTTTCCTGTGGTGATGGGAAGCTCCCTCTCTACCAAGGCTGTCCCGTATTTGTGCAGCCTTGGCGGTTCAGAAACTGCTTCTTCTGTTTCACTTCCTCTTCCACCCCTTGGAACTTTGGGGTCTAAGATAATCAATCTAATGATTGTAGTAAGCATAAATACTCTTGATTGGGTCCTGCTAGGTGCCTGTTAATTTGCATAGGTATTACCTTCAGTATGTAAAGCAATGTTGGAAAGCCGAGAAAAATTTCCCCCTTTTATAGATAAGGAAACCAAATCTCAGAGAGGGTGAGCAATCTCTGTAAGTTTGCACAGCTAGTGAGTATCCAGGCTGGACTCCCAGTGTATGTCTCTGCCAGGTTCCATCCCTGCTGACCGACCCACAGCCTCAGGCCGTACCCTAATTTCTGTTCTGTGTCACGACCCCTTGGATTTTTGAAGACCCTTATCTCTTCCCTGAGATTTCCCCAATTCCTCAGACACTCCTACGAAATGTGTTTCCATGGAGTTTCCAAATGTCCATGTGTTTCTCCTCCTGTCTCCTCCTGTAAACCGTTGCACAGGTTTACACACGCAGCGACATTTCTGGACTGCTGCTTCTACCTGGCTCATCTCCCTTTATTCCACAAAATTCCTTGTGGAGCTGTTGTGAACGGGTCCGAGTTCCACCCCGGCTAGGACCCTTCTCCTGTTCCCCTGGCACGTGGGCTTTCATTCCCTTAGAACTTGAAACGCCAGGCACCACTCTGGCCTGGCACACAGCAGGTGCCCAGGAAACGTGCTAATGAAGACTGAAATAATCACAAGCAAGATCGATGGGTCTGTGAAACTGTAGTCCTGCAGTGGGGATGGGAATTTGGCTGGTGCTTGGAGGCTGTTGGGATAGGTTGCCTGCTGCCGGGTCCTGGGAGTCCGTGTCCTCAGTAAGGTTTGGTCCCATTCCTCCTCGGCCTGGCATGTGTCTCCTTCTTCTCCCAGGAGGCAAGCTTGCTGGCCTCTAAAGTTTCCGGGTTCACCGAGTTGGCAGGTAACGGGAGTTTACCAGGCGCCGTTCAGCGGGCGTCCTCGGGGGAGGCCGAGTCACGGCCTTTGTCGTTTCCGTGCAGTCCAGACAACACAAGCCACCAGAGCGTCCTCGCGCATACCGAGAGGCTGCCGGGGGAGACGTGCAGGGGGTTGGCTCGGCACCACCATACCTTTTTCTTAACTGTTAAAAACAAAACAAAACCCTTCTAAAAATCTTATTTAAAAAAAAATCTCATGAAAGTGGTGTTAAAAGTTAGGAGAGTGGTCAACCGTAGGGAGAGGAGTCATGTTTGGGAAGGGGCCTGAGGAGTCCTGCCAGCCTTCTGGACTGGCTCTCAGAATTTCTGCTTCTTCCCTGTATGTGATACTTGGAGAAAAAGGGTGGGGGGAGGTGATGACTTCTTGTACTCACGATTTTCATGTGAGTTTTCCAATCGCTTTGGAGGCAGACTGTGGTTAAGTCAGCTCTCTCCTCATCCCGACCCTGAAAGCTCAGCTCATGGAACATAAGAGGCTGGTTTCTCTTTATAGCAACATTACCTCTTTCCCCAGACTGCCTGCAACTCCCACGGCATTCCTTGTCTTGCCCTTCAGGCAGCGCGGGGCGACTTCTTGTTACCCTCCCAGTATCAAGTATAACTTTTATTTTGTTAGTTTTGCAAGTGTCATGGTGTCGAACCTATAAATAAACCCAACTCCATAATAAGAAAACTATTTGACATTTTGAAGTTGTAGGAGACCAAGGACGCTAATGACGGGTCTCTCTTTGAGTAAACTAATCCCACAAATTACTCCACCCTGCTTCCTGGGGGCTGCAGTTGGAGATCCACTCCCTGAACAAATTACGGGATCTGCGGGACAGACGCTTTGATGCCAGGGTTGTGCTGCTGGAGTATTGGGATAGACAACTGCAAAATAATTTGAGTGTTGAGCCGTGCTATTGAAATGACTGAGCATTTCCCCCCCTTTGGTGGAGGACAGTACAAAGTCAGAGTTTTTAAAGCCTTTCATACATGCATTCACAGAAGCATTTTCATAAACAAAAGGTATCAAGTACTTTTATATTTGCATATCCAAATTAAAAATAAATGTTGTGCATCAGTATTTCCATTGTTAGTTGGGATTACAGAATTCCATTAGCAAGCTTTAACCTTTAAAGATGTTTAAAAATTAATTTTGTGGCTTATAGGCTCAGGACAAATTAGTTGATTGGCCCTCATGTTGAATGAGAAATAAATATGAAAATACCTGCCTTAATAAATGATTTTTTTTCTAATTTAGGAAGTGTTCAGTAGTGATGTTTACATTATAAGCTAGTTTTTAAACTAAGTGTATTTATCTTTATGATGCAGTGTTATACTTTGGAAATTAAAAAAGGCCAAATAAGCAGAAAAAATGGCAGAAGGAAGTATTGATAAGTTTATGAAAATTTTAGCCATGAGGAAAATTAAATTTCCTGTTCCAGATTGTATGGTAATTTGCTTATCAGCTGCACACAATTTAAAATTAATAAGGTAAAATAGCATTTATGGAAGTGTCTTCTAAGTTATAGGGGCATTTCACAAATGAAAGCTAAAATCACGGATTTTTCATTCTTTGGGCTGAGCTTCATTAACCACATTTGCAAAGCCTGGTAAGTCATACAAAATGCACACATCTCTTGGCCTTTGGTTTCTTTGCTTATGACAAGGGCAGCCGTCTCTCACCCACTTCCGAGAAAGTGTGCGCAACAGGCACTGCGGTCTCTTCGTATAACTCGGGTGTTATGACTCGTT